AAAGGCATTCTGCGAGCTGCAACAACGCCTGCGAAACCCGCCCGTGCTCGCTCATTTCGACGAAAACGCCGAAACGGAAATGCACATGGACGCCAGTGATATCGGTTTGGGTGCCGTCCTCGTCCAAAAGCAAAGCGGTTACGAAAAGGTAATCGCCTATGCAAGCCGTGGTCTATCGAAGGAGGAGAGAAACTACTCTGCCTCCGAGAAAGAGTGCCAGGCTATCATATGGGCCATTGCAAAATTTCGCCCATACGTCTATGGTAGACCATTTAAGGTTGTGACAGACCATCATGCGCTTGTTGGCTCGCCAATTTGAAGGACCCCTCTGGCCGTCTTGGGCGGTGGAGCTTGCGCCTGCAAGAGTTTGACGTTACAATATTCTACAAATCTGGCCGGAAACACTCCGACGCCGACTGCCTGTCCCGCGCCCCCGTCGACCCACCACCACAGGACTCCGATGAAGACAGCGCGTTCTTCGGAGTTGTGACAGAGAGCGACCTAGCCGCCCAGCAGCGTGCCGACCCTGACCTCCGCGCCATGATCGACTACCTCGAAAGACGCAACGTCGCCGTGGCTAGGGCGTTCAAGCGCAACTTACCAGCATTCAGCCTCAAAGACTCCATCCTAGTGAAGAAGAATTTCAACCCCGGAACGAGAACGAATTATCTACTTGTCATCCCCGCAGACCTTCGTGACGAAATTTTGGAAGCGTGCCACGACGACCCGTCTTCCGGACATCTCGGATCAGCTCGCACGATTACAAAAATCAAGGCGAAATACTTCTGGCCCCGCCTTACATCTGAGGTCACCCACTACGTCCGGAGCTGCCGTGACTGCCAGCGACGAAAAACACCACCGACGAGACCAGCCGGACTTCTGCAGCCGATCGCCATCCCAACGAGGCCCTTCCAACAGATCGGAATGGACCTTCTGGGCCCGTTCCCTACATCCCGATCCGCGAACAAATGGATTGTCGTAGCGACAGACTACATGACGCGCTACGCAGAGACCACCGCTCTTCCTAGGGGAACTGCACAAGAAGTTGCAAATTTCTTTATTAACCAAACTGTGCTGCGACATGGAGCCCCTGAGGTCCTAATCACGGACCGAGGAACGACCTTCACCGCGGAGCTCATGCAAGGAATCTTACGCTACAGCAACACAGATCACCGAAGAACGATGGCGCACCACGCCCAAACGAATGGACTAACGGAACGGCTCAATAAGACAATCGCGGATATGCTGTCTATGTACGTCGACGTTGAACATAAGACGTGGGACGAAGTCCACCCGTACGTCACGTTTGCGTACAACACGGCTATTCAAGAAACCACGCAGATGACACCGTTCGAGCTTGTCTACGGAAGACGGCCGACTACGATGCTCGACGCCATGCTTCCGCACGTAGAAGACGACGACCTTAACGCCGACGTCCAAGGATACCTCCAACGTGCGGAGGAGGCCCGCCAGCTCGCTCGAGCTCGTATAACGGACTAGCAACTGGTGGATGCCGGACGCTACAATCTCCGACGCCGAGACGCCAAGTACCATCCTGGAGATCGTGTGTGGGTTTGGACTCCCTTTCGACGACGTGGACTCAGTGAGAAACTTCTATGACGCTATTTCGGACCCTACCAGATTCTACGACGTGTTGGCGAACTAACGTACGAAGTGATCCCCGATGGGGACTTCCGAACATCACGACGACGCACGCGGCCCGAAGTCGTCCATGTGGTTCGCTTGAAACCTTTCTACTGACGATGACAAACTTTTAATTTGTGTGGACCTTCCCTTATGTTAGCATCGGGTCGATGCACTCTTAGAGGGGGGGGGGGTGTAATGCCGTAAACCATGCATTGGGTTTGTTTATTTGTGTTCTGTTTTTTCGGCCTGGCTGCGCCGGCCTGTGCTATCACCGTTTTCAGAGCGTTTCGAACAAACGCTACCACAGCGTTTCGAACAAACGCTACCGAACAACGCTTCAGGCGTTGTTCGATAGAAACAACGCTTCAAGCGTTGTTTGTTAGAGGCGCTGTTCGAATGAACAGCGTTTCTAACAAACGCTATCACGGCGTTCCCGATACAATTCGACTATTCGAGAAACCCTCGCGCCGAGGGATGGAAATTCCCGCACAGCCGATGCCACGTCATTCGATCGCCGACGCTCACTAGCGTGCCCGTCGTTTAGCTGGCCGCTGCTTCGCCGCCTGTGTACTTTTTTCAGTTGGTAGGGGAGCACAGGTTCGCTCCAATAAACTTGTTTTCCTCATAGACAACTGCGTCGTCCTTTGCTGCGTGACAATATATATATATATATATATATATATATATATATATATATATATATATATATATATATATATATATGTATATATATATATATAAATATATATAAAATTTAACACTTTAACACACAATAATGCCAAGAAAAGTATAGAGGAGGTTGTTAGGCCGGCTTTTAAGGTAAATATAAAGAAAGATAAGTGGGCGAAAAGGTGACTTGCTATGGGCAGGAACCGAACCTGCGACCTTCAAATATCGCGTTCGATGCTCTACCACTGAGCTACCATGGTGGCTATCCCCCCATCCACTTTATTGGGTATATATGTGCATTTTAAACGTGAGCGTGTCAGTCAGTGCCATCTGTAGCCATGGCGGCAATTGTGGCACACTCTCTATGAGCCTGTGTGGGGTCACGTAGCATGTGAACTTATTGCGAGATAGCAGCTGACCAATTGTTCCTCGTAAACAACCTAAGGCACCAAGTCTGCCAGTACGAGACCCTTTTTGATGAATAAAGGAAAGAAGTGTATACTTAAGGGCTCGTTTTCACGTGATTTGACACAATATGAATGAAATCTAACAGACAATAATGTCTGTGTTCGAGATTGTGCGGAAAGCGTGTGGAGAAAATTCGACTTTGGGAAAAATTCGGAGGCAGAGATCTTCTCTTGGTGTCATTATTTTCGGTGACGCTTAGCGGCAACGACGAGGGGAAGTGTCGCGTAACCTGATCTGTAACAAAGGCTATCATTCCATACCGTGGCTAGAGGGTCACTGGTGGTATGAGAGGGGTAAACGATGCAGTGCAGATGCCCCTTTTTTGAGTTCAGTGGCTGCGGGTCAAAAGTCACTGCTACTGAGTTCGGCGAACAAGTTGGTTCGTCGTCCCTTTGTCAATACCACAACCCTCGAGAGCTATGGAATGCGTGACTCCCCGGAGCTCGTCTGAGAGAGTGTTGCCTTGCCATTACTAAAAATGAATCTTGTACTCAGTTTTAGGAATTACTTTCCTAGTCTTGTCGTCTCCCGATAAGCAAGGAATACGTCTGAATTTTGTAAGTTTTATTTTCCTCGTCATCAAAGAAGCAGACATTCAGATGCTTGTCTGATTACTTTTATTTTACCCATATTTCGAAAGGCAACAGTTCATGTGTTTTATTTTAACAGAGAAGGCTGACTAAAAGACCCTGTTTAAAATACCTTCTATGTTTAGCCTTACGTGTTAGTATGCGCGTAAGTGTAGGTAACTTTAAATTTGTTTTTGTAACACGCGCTAGTTTCATTTTCAGCGTTATTTTCCTATGTTTTCAAGCGTGTTCTCTCTTGTCGTGATGATCATTGGCTGCGCGCATTCAATGAGATCTTGTCTCGACGATGTTTAACAGTCTCATGCTTGCAAGCGACGCCAATGTGCGTGAATCAGAAGTTCTCGGTATTCTAAATTGTACTTTGGAGGTCAAATTGAGTTAACCTCAGAAGATTCGATTGTCCACAATCTGCCTATGTCGCATTTTATAATCGCTTGGAAAGAAAAAAAAAAAGATTGTTTGGTTCAGGAGTTGAGTTCAGGTATCAGGAGTTAGGTAAATGTGTGTCCGCAATGTGTGTTACTCCTGAGATACGTTAGTCATGATGCTATTAGCTCCGTTCTATCTCGATAAACTATATTCGTTTTCAGCTGGTCTGGTGATCTGATCAGCATTTGGAGGGCGCTTGCTTTGGCTAGAGTGGTTTGGCTTTGTGCTCGACTCCATTGTTCCAGTGATCTTCTACAAGGCTGTGAAAGTCACCACGGGCGAAGTGAGCGGAACGGCGCGAGTTCTCAACTGTCAACCAGCATGCCTCCTTCCAAGCCCTGCTAGACAGCTCACAACTCCAGATGCATTGTCTGGCGGTGGAGTCTGTCTTTTATGCCAGAAGCATGGACCTTGTTCGGAAACTATTATTTCCATGGCTACGGGAACACAGTTCCGGCGAACTCTTCTCCCTCCCAGTGCCACTTTCCACGAAAACGGAGGAGCTTGTCACGCCACTCAAAGTTCTAGTGAAGTCTCCTCCCCCACCCCAACGCAACCTTCCGCGCAGACGGCGGCGAGCCACGTGCACTTCCGGGAAAGTCATCACCTCCTACGCCAAGCACCAGGAACTGGTCTCGAAAAAAAAGACCAAAACGTTATTTAAGGCTGTGCTAGCCCATTGTTTGTCGATTTTGCCCCAGCCAACGTCGTCATGCTGGCCCGGCTCTGTACGAACGATAAACTTCTGCTATGAACGTTGCTTTCTGTATTGTTTTACAAAACGTTTGCCTCCCTATTCCGCCTCTGGGTGAAGGCTTTAGCAAAGTTCGTTGGACTGTTCGCCGCTTTAGGCCGCAGCTACCATCGTGACCCAGCGAATTCATAACAGCGGTGGCGGTGGTGGGATGTCATCAAACCAACATTCGTAACAGCACCTAGTCGTAAACGGGCAGTGAGACGGATAGATGATAGATAAATAGATAGATAGATAGATAGATAGATAGATAGATAGATAGATAGATAGATAGACGCCAAAAGTGGTTACAGTATGCAAGGAAATGCTTCGATACCAAAAGAACCCCATGTGGGACCTTGTCGTGGAGCAAAATGTGAAATATGCTAGAACTGAGATTCAATACCAACGCTATATGGACGATGAAAATTGAGTATGTACTAGGGCCAGTACAAATTTCCTACTTGCTGTTGTCAGCCGTTGTTTCATGGCATGAAGGGACGGAAACAGCCGTGTCAACCATGGCTTTGAAGCTTGCGAGACGAATCTGAGACAGAGAGTGAACACAAAAGTGTGAAGTAGGCAAATGGCTTAGAAAGGAGTTACTGAGGAGGTAACCACTGGGTGCTGGAGATTCCCGACAGCATTGAACAATAATCTTGTCACGAACGTAAGCTGATAGTTCCGTCAAAATCGCGTCCAAAGTCGGTGCCAGCAGATCATGGTCATAAATAGTGGAATCACGCAATTCGTGAAATGTAAAATTTCGGCGCCTGTGCTCCAGCTAGTGTTTTTCGTGACATCTGTGTAGCCTGGAGCAAGTTTAGCCGAAGCAATATTATTCTTTATCTATCGCGTTGCCCACCCCGATGGGCTACTGGTTAGCCTTCTCGACTGCTGACCGAAGGTCACTGAATTGAGAGCCAGCTGCGGCGGTTGCATCTACATGAAGGCAAAGTAATACAAAGGCCTGAGTGCTTGGAGAAAGTCAAACGTGAGAACCCCAGGTGGTCGTTTCCGAAATCGTCCACCATGGCGTCTCTCACAACTGCTTCGTTGTTTGGGACCTAAAACCCCGGCTGTGAATACTGCCTGCTGCTTCCGCTGTGTAACCATCATTTGCGCTTCAACATATAACCTTTGAAAGTATAAGCGATCATTTTATTGGCAACGCTAAATTCAACACATGAATATTTACTTGGAAGGCCGCAAAGGCTTGTGGCTTCGATAATAAAACGTCACTAGCGAAACTCAAAATAATCATTGACGCTGATTTTCTTAATTTTACTGCAGAGTTTGTCATGGGAAGGTCACTTTGTGAAAACAACAACATAACCTTCCAGCGATCGCCCCCGTAAAAATGTTGTTTCAAGGGCGTATTTCAAATTATGGCTTAGAGAGCAAGGTGCGTTCGGCTAATATGCTAATTTTTGAGTGGTTAGGGGCTCGTTGGTACTGTTCCAGACACTTCCATTGCTGTGGTGAAGTTCCTTCTAATAGGTATTTATCTGTTGATCTTTACAGAATGACCAGAGATTTGTTACAGGATATAAAAATTAGAGGGTGCTTAAGCTTCGCCTTCAAGAGTAAAACAGGACATCGCAATCGGGCCCCGCGCTTCAATGCCTTCAACCAGGCTGAAAGGAATAGGACACTTGTGCGCCTAACATTGACCGTTCCACGCTACTCTATTGAATGCTTACTGCCATAATTCCTCTTTTATAGCGAATCATTGAGGTAGCAACTACACGCAAACTCACAGGCCTTCTCAGCTGTTCAATTAATTGATGGCTTCGCTGCGGAAGAATGTCCCAGTACTCTGTACATGGCCTTTAAATCCTTCACTCGCTTTGTAATTCACATGTCTTGACGCAATTCTATGCTGATGCCACACAGTACTACGTGCGTTAACAAGACTGAATTTCGTGACATTTGGATACTTTATTCGGAAGCAGCTCAAATCAGCGCTGTAGCTCTGAACAGTTGCTTGCTACGCCGACGGCCTGGGTTCAAGTTCCACTCGAACCAAAGTTTTTTTTAAAGTTTATTTTTATGTCATCTTTCTAAATGTTTCTGTCAGAGACTAGATGCGCTTTTCGCTCCCAACGAGAGAAGCCGACATCAAAATTTCTGTGAAACGAGCTTTTTCAACGCAATCGCATTACTAATAATCCTGGAAACGGAGCGCCACAGGTGCCACGAATACGACAAAACTGAAATAGCGATCTAATCACCCTCTCAAGTTGAACTCAAGGGCCAGACGCTCGTGTTAGTGGTGTATCAGACACTTTTAGTTGAGCGTACGGGAAGATGCGTACGCTGTGAAAATTACGTTGCGCACGCCGCAAGTGAAGCGTGCAACGTCATTTTAATTTAACGTACCTTGATGCGTTTCACTCAACTAGATAAGTCGTATTTGAGATACAAGGCTTTGGAATGCTTATCAGCGCCACCCACGCTAGAAGTATGCTAAGTCCCAGTGATAACGTGACCTCTGTGATCTGTGCGAAAAACATCCTGACGGTGAGGGGAAGGGCGTACGAGTCAGGCCGTGGCGTTCGCTGTGCAGATATTTGGCATCGTTACTCGGTGCACTGGGTGTGTGCATTAACCTTTGTTGTTTTGAACTTGGCTGCACAATGCGTCTGATCGGGCACGACCACATTGGATCAACCCCAGCGTTCAATGCAGTGCTGCTGCTGATAATCCCTAGCGTACCCAGCAGCAAGTGGTCGTGTTCCACTTATTGAAGGCCTTACAATTACTACCAGCACATTTAAGGAGTGAAAGCTCGCACAACGTCCATGACGTGTTATGCTGCACCATGAACCAGTACGTACCAAGCTGCCGTTTTCTTTGCGGGTTAATTCGCCGAAAGGATTGGCAGAAAAAGACTCCTTCCCTCACACAACTTATTGAAGGCGATTCTTGAGGATTTGCGTGAGACGCCAGAAAATTTTTCTGAATCATCAAGGTGCTTAAACGAGCCACTTCAATTTACCTTGTCAGGCATAAAAACATCGCCTTTCATTGTGAAGTACACATGCCTTGCATCAGGTACGCTGTTGCTGTTTGCTTCGAACGCCACTGCTGCCACCTTAAACTCTCGTTCTGGTTTCTTCGAGGTCTCGTGAGATTGTAACGTAGCAAGCGTTGCGTTACGTACGCAGCTTCTTGTTTCGGGCGTACGCGCGCATCTCTGGAATCGATACGTTACGTACTGCACATGCACAGTTCTCTCCCGTGGCAGTGCTCTGTACGTGGGCTCGTTACGTACGCCCAATTAAAGTGTCTAGTATTTCTTTGCGGCAGTTATGTTGATGACAGAGCAACAGCAAGCCTACACCTCCGGTTTGGCTTTGAGTGATTTGTGCTCCGTTAAAGCTGCGAAGCACACGTTATGCGCAGGGTTTTTTAACGGCGAAGCTTGTTATAGCGGCACACGTACGTCCCTCGTAGCCGTAGTAGTAGTGTGTAACAAGTATTACATTTTGACCTCCAAGGTGGTGCCCGTGAGAGATTTCTTCTGTGCGTTGTTGAACAATAAAAGATAATACTGAACGTACAGGCCAATGGCTGC